AAGAAGAGCCAGAATAGGAAATCTTGCGAGCACAATGAATTAATAAAAAGACATAAACTTTCAAAAAAAACAATTCCATGGATGGAGTTTGATAGAGTGTAGAGTTAGAGATAGGTATGATGAAATTAGAAAACGCAGGAAGGCATGTTCGAAGATGGAAAAGGTAAAATAAATAAATGTTAAGGAAAATCAACGTATAAAATCTAGATAATGAAGAAGAGGACTCAAAGGAATAAGAGGTTGAGAATACAACTGATCCTACCGATTGTAGGTCCTGACACAAATTCGTTTTTAAGGACCTGTGTTTTATCTCTAGACGTATTTAAATTTCTAAATATTTTGTCACAAATTGTACGCAAACGTAGCCTTGGCTAATATTTTTGACATAATGCTGAATGCGAAATGCTGCCAAAGCAGGTAATGGTATAATTTGCCTAATATAATGAAAGGCGCAATAGAAAATATGATAAAATGATATGATAGGGCATTCGAAAGCAGTAACTATTCCTTTTAGCCCTAAATGCGTATCTCAATTTAACATAATATATTCTTTAGCAAATTTGTCTTTATTATACTCTATAATGACTGCCTTCTAGTTTAAACGTTTTTATTAGTAGAAAACTTCATGGTATGAGAATATTGGTAGCGAGGCTACAAAGTAACAGTGACGAAAGTCAGACACCTCGTCTGAGGAGTAAAAACATACCAAAGCATTAATAAAGCTATTAGCGAAGCATATATCCGAAGATTACTCTATATGCTAGAAACTTGTTGGCATACTCTGAAGAAACAAAAGTAAATTGGATTAATTGAAGGTGAGGCCTTTAATATAGTCATGGCCTGCAGAATCAGATTTGGACTGAAACAGATCAAATTTCCTTTTATCAAATAGTCTAGTGGAATTATAAATAAAATATAAAGAGGAAATTATGCATTGAACAGGCAATCTGAGCACAATGAAAAGATAATAGAAGAATCTTAAGTATCGATGACTGAAAGAAGAAGCCAAAGAATACAATATAACGGCAGAGTGGAAAAAGCAGAAAGGGGAAGACAAGATAGCTGACCGGTTAATAGAAAATCGAATCGTTATAAGTGATTCCATTTCTATACAAAATTTCTGCAGAAATCATAGGTTTCAGACAAAGTGAAGTGAATGGAATAGTGAGAAGAGAAATTTACCTCACTAGAAATAACTATGATAAATGAAGTGATGGAACTGGCCTAAGTAAGCAATTCACAGTATCAAAATTAAGGCAGTCTGAAGAAGGCTTCATATATAAAATAATGAATCGGCATAATAATATAGTTTATGGGCTATCAAATAAGATTGTTGGGAGAACTTTAATTTCGTATGAAAGTGCATTAAGAAGATATTCATAGGTCGAGCTCACCAGAAAAAGACGGCTGAATCCCGTTGTACTGCAACCGTTTTGTTTTTATATGACGTTCAGGTTGACGCAGTCTACGGGACTTCCATCGCCTCGGATGAAAACAGGCTGAACTTTGGTCCGTCAAAGGATGAGCATCATCAGAGCTGAAACTCATTCTTGCAAAAGTCTCACGTTAGAACTAGGGCAAGAAGATTATTCGGCTCTATCCTATCTATATATAGACTCAACTAAACAAAAGAAAATTAAAAGGCCTATATATATATATGGCTAATTATCTTTCGTATTAGTACTGTTAGTTTTGTTCGAGTATATGTGTTGACGCCAATACACAATACCTGTCTTAAATCAGTGATCAAAAGACTAATGACAGGCTCTGGTCATCAAGTATTAATGACCCAAGTGGGAAATATTTATGTTTGATTAATGGATTGAAGGAGACAGGGTGGTGAGCTGCCATCCAAAAGAAGGCAACTCAATTTGTCTGCTCAGTGATGTTTCTAACTTCGCTCACACTCGTCAAACATGTTAGATTAAGCTCATCATCTAAACCAGACGTACGCGATTCCGCAGCCCTATTCATGCCTTTACTTGGGTGGTTAAACCTTAATGTTCATAGAATGAGAGGTTAGGACAAGTGATTTCGTAACTTGATTTACACACTCACAAGCTTGCATCTCACTATCTCAACCATACTTGCTTATGGACTTAAGCAGTCTCGATCAGGGCTTTCTCTTGGGTCATTAAGCCCTGATGACCGAGCCTGACATTAGTCCTTTGATCACTAGTTTACGACAGTTATTGCGTATTGACGTCAACACACACACACACACCTTCTAACAAAAGTAGCAGGACTAATACGAAAGACAATTAGCCAAAGCATTCTATATCTATCTGGGCTTTTTAAGTTTATTTTGTTTAATTAAGTCTATATAAGAGGCAAAATAGAGGCGGATAGTCTACTTGCCCTAGTGTTAACTTGAGACTTTAAAAAGAAAAATTTCCAGGTCTTATGTACATCATAGGATGAACGAAAACTCAACCCGTTTTCAGCCGAGGTAAGGGAGAGGCTTTATGGACTACGTCAATCTGAACGTCAACCAAACGACTGCAATACAACGGGATTCATCCGTCCTCTTCTAGTGAGATCGACCTACGAATCTCTTCTTCGTGCCCTTTCATACGAAATGAAAGTTCTCCCAACAATGTTACCTCAGGAGATTTATCGAAACTCAGTTACCCTTCGTATTTACATTCAACTGAGGCCTACTCTACTTCCAAAATCAGGATCAGCTACAACTGAAAAGTTAGATTATTTTGCTTAATTATGGTGGCTTAACAAGCAGAGCCAGATAACGACCCGAGGGAATCCAATACACTTTATATAATTGTTTAGGGAGATTATGAATGTCTCCTGGAATATATTGTTCGATATATCAAGCAATTTCAGTATTGCTTTCCAGCTAAGTCTGCCTGGAACGGAGCTAATATCTTAGCTATCATCTCAAAATCAAACTAAATCTTCATTCATTGAATATCGGAATAACGTTGGCCAGATGTCATTAAAGGTGAAAGTAATAAAAACAATATTTGCAAGATAGCTAAAGTTTAATACATGAGAGAACATCTGTATATGAGAACCTGTCATGATACTGTTCAACATTAAGGATTTTTAAAAAGTTATGATTCGTTGGAAAGCTGATATGAAAGGTTGATACTGGCATAACTTTAATTTCGTTGAGGAAAGTGGTTCGTAAATTAGCCTCACTGTATACCGAAAAAGGGTTGCTCTCGGCTTTTGTCTGTGCAATTGTGCGAAGACCTCAGCTCACCGTCATATGACCTAGGTGACTCCGTATTAAGCTTCCGTCCATCATGTGACGAATCCCTTCTACCCGCCTTCTCAAACAAAATGAAAGGTATGCCATTATCAATTTACTAAAAAATTCTCCGAAACCTAGCTTCTCTTCATAATATGAAAGCTCATTTATACTTTGCAACTAGAAGGCAAGAAAGAAATATCGAAGTGAAAACATGGATGAGTAATCTATTGACTAGCTTTGAGAAAAATGGAACATCAACTGAACTTAAAGTTTTATTGAAGGAATATCAATTAAGTTAAGGTTTTATTCAAGGCGATACAAGACAGCATAATTAATTCTGAAGATGCAGTTTTATACCTGTCTGGTCTATGTCTCTCATCGCCATAGAATCATGATGGTCGCCCTGTGCAACCAATATGACTCCTTTCGAGAAAAGGTTGACGTGCGTCGGAGAATTAGGACAAGGTGCCGACGACTGAGGTGTGGCGGGCATTCGGCGTTTACAGTGCAGGATCAAGGCGTTAGCCATTTGCTTGATGCGCTGGGGCATGAAATTGCCTTCTGTATCGAGAAATACAGACTCTCCGCCGATGCCACCAAGCCAGGCAGGTAGCTGGGCCGTCAGACATAGCTGGAAACTGCCAGGATGGGCGAAGAGAAAATGCAAATGAAAAAATATGAATCACCAAAAAGGCGGATCGGAAAGTTCTTATAATTATATGGAAATTCGTTAAGTGTACTCCCACAGCCAAGGATTCATAGCAAATTTGTTGGAAAAATGCTGTGACACATATCGGCTAGAGAACTCAAGATACTGATAACAAAGGTACTTGTGATCATTAGACACCTTTGCGTAAAGAATGTCTAATTAGCAATTTCATGAAGAGGCGAAAAACACTAAATCACTGATCTTGCTTACCATATAGTTGCTAAGTAACTGGCAAAGGTTTGTGGGCCAGAGCCTGGTATGGAGATGAAATCTGATATAGAAGAACATAAAGATCCATTAATAACGCAAGAGATAATTATGATACGTTTATAGTTATATACTCGTATTGCTGAGTAGGCTGGAAGCCAGGCTTATACATGGGTGCCATGCATATTGATAGAACAAGAGTAAGGCAATCTCTGGAATTGTTACGAAATTATGGTGCATACAATGTGCTTCAAAGTAGTAGCATGGAAGAAACAAGAACTAATAGTTTTTAACAAAGCGAGGACCAGTGAAGAATAGTGTTGAAAAAAACATCAGTATCAACCGTATGTCTTATTCCAAATAAATGCTTCCCCTATTCATATATCCTACCTGTTCTAAATAATTTTCAAGTAATCCTAATAGAGAACTGTTCACGACTAAAATCTTCCCTAAATTACAAGGATTAATATCTGCCAGGATTTCAAAACTCCGGCCTTAGTCCCACAAGTATTTGCAGAAAATAAATAAAAAATAAAAACTCGCATTTATGAGTTCCTATGTATGTCTTCACCCCATTTGGTCTGCTCGACCTACTAGTAAATCCAAGAGCAAACGACTATTTTTTTTAAATTCCGAGATAAATTCCGTTCCCATTAGATGAATCATTAACCATGCAGAGACTATTAACTGATGTTGGAATACCTTGCATTTCGCTTGCTGAGCTTTCCTCTGTCATGTGACATACATCGTTAGAGCAGAACACCAAGATTAACAACAATTCACCAAAACCCAAAGACAAGAAAGGTAGCTGGCCTCAAACCTACTTACTTTTTATAGTTTTACATGATTCACTTAATGAGGCATCTCACGATTTGTTTGGATATCGTATGTTTTGCCTAAATTTTTGCTGAAAAGATTGCGGCGGATGACATGTGAAGTGGCTGCAGATGAAGCGTGAAACGGATATAATTGTGAATGAACAGCTGCATCCTGCAGTGCTACCGTATGTGATTGCCTTCCATTGCATGCGTGCTGTGCGAACGCATTGCTCGTGAAATTTAGCCTCCTCCTGCTCTGCAGTGCTTCTCGTTCTCGCCTCTCTCTCTAAGCCTATCCAACAGCCATAAGTAGTTTCCACTTAACTTCTTACACACATTCCTTCTATTCAGGGCGTTGGCTGTTTTTTTAATTTCTATCGTTTCCCTAATATTTCAAGGACGAGAAGTATCAAAGAATAAAAGGAGACTTTATTAGGCTCGAATATGGTTCATCAACAATCCCAGCACAGAATGTGATATGGGAAAATGCCTGGTCTTCCTTGAAATGCATATCTGCTCTGCGACCAAAGGACACTTATGGAAATGTGGTTGAGGTGTCAAGATTATACGCTGAATTGTCATGATTTGAGTCCCAATGCTGGTGTTAATAAGATCTGGGCGAAGTCGAAATTTCAGTCCATCTTGGATGAGAATACATGCTGGGAAAGTAAGACTCGTTGTCGCAACTTGGTCTTGTGTTCAGGGAGACTATATAGAACGCACCGAGTCCGAAGTATTTCAGTCCATCTTGGATGAGAATACATGCTGGGAAAGTAAGACTATAGGAAATTCAATAGAAGTGTGAGGGCTACTCATATCATCGTGTGAAAAATTCAAGTACAAGGTGTATCATCTTAGACGAAATAGGATGAATACATTACATCTTTCTTGCCTTCGTGTTTTGGTGAATTGTCGTTAAGCATGGTGTCCTGCTTTTACGATGCCCGTAACATGACGGACGAAAGCACAGCAATGATTCCTTAGGATCGCAGGGCGGTGTGCCGAAGACCAATTCGCATAAATCTAGTCACAGTTCCAAGGCAATCACCCTACAGCCTTCAGTGAGGCCAACTTATGAATCCCTTCCACTCGTTTTTTCAAACAAAATGGAAGGTACTCCCAATTTTCCACTAGGTATCAAATATATACCCATCAATATCCTGACAGAAGCCTAACCTAATTTTTTCTTCAGTAAGACTCCTTGTTAATTGTAGAGCTTGTATCGCTTCGAGTACATAGAAAATATATTAAAATTTACAAGCAAACCCCCGCTTTTTATTATCCGATCATCTATTAATCTAACAAATCCATAAGAATGCTTTATTTAAAACTATATGGTCTAAGATATTTGCTATAATTTATGACAAATAAATCGTTCTATTTGAAGATTCACGCCACCATTATAATTCAAAATAATTCTTCATGAACGCCTGCTTTATGTATTGTGACAGATCCTTGGCACTTAAAGGGCTGGCGTCCATTTAGGAAAGCACCTTCGTTTTCCACATATCCGAATCACACTCTGGCAGACAAACATCGAATCTATCATTCGGGGATCGGTAGAGGCCTAAATTACAACTTTTTAGGGTCAAAATACCTAAAAGCCTGCAACGTCTCAATCCTTGAATCTATTAATTAAGAAAAAGTAAGTTTTACTTATCTTCTTACCGGTATTCCTTACATTCAATGTATTTCCTATTCGGTATATTTCGTTGATTTCTCTAATTTTACCTTTCGACGCAGACATGTAAGAATCAGCAAAACGAGATGTATGAGACCATTCAATCTCGTGTCCTGCTAGTATACATTGATACCACATCAAGACTAATCAAAAGATTCTCCTCTTTAACACTCTGCCGATCTATTAATCTAGCGAATTCATATGAATTCCTCACTGAATATTTCCAATACTCAGCCAATTTCCTGAGTTGTTTACATAAGAAACGTGAAACCCTATGCATCACAGTACCCTTGTTATTAACAATCAATCTTAAGGGAACTCTTTCTTTGTGTATTTTTGGAAAGCCTTAAGCTGAAGGTGTTTAGGCATCTCTTTGAAGAAGAGAATTCATTTTCAAACTTCTCAATTTCTTCTCTGTCTACAAAAGCATCAAGAGATTCTATAAATCTGGCCTTAAGACTCTCTGTCACTAAAAGTCTGTAAATTTCTGAGTAATTTAAATGAACCATCATTTTTTTTCTATATAACTGAACCTATCCATGATGATCACTACACCA